CACGCCTCAATGCCACGTCCCCTGCAGCGAGGGCGAGACCGCGCTGCACAATGCGGCACGCGGCAACCACGTGGAGGCGGTGCGGTTCCTGCTGGCGCTGGGCGCGGACCCCCTGGCGGAGGCCAAGGACGGGTCCCTGCCCGTGGACGAGCCCGAGGACGAGGGCGTGGCCGCCATCCTGCAGGAGGCCATGGACGCGCTGGAGGGGGCCGGGGCGGGGGATGGCCGGGAGGAAGGGGACGACGGCGTGCCTGCCAGCTGATTATGGTAGTGCGCTGGGAGCAGCCTGCGGCCGGCCGTCGAGGGGGATCGGTCCGTAGGTGCAGACGAGGCTCAACAATATGTGCCCTCCAGTTAAGTGATGTGTTTTGGCGCCGTGTGGGCTTCGCTTTCCCCTTGTGCCGATTTTGGCACCATTGCGCCGTTGTCGCATGTAGCGCTGGCACCCGTTCACAGCGGCGCTGATCCTCCGGTCTGGTTTGACCACCTTCAACAATGCCTTTTGCTCTTATGCGTTTTGCCCTGCACCAGAGTGCCATTGTCAACGCCCTAAAAGATCAGAAAGCTGCGACCTACGTCTGGCATCTGTCGTGTGTGTGTGTGTGTGTGTGTGTGTGTGTGTGTTCACGCACTTGTGGGGCGAGGACGAGATTGTATTGCGCATGGAGTCAGCGAGAGCCAGAGCGCTTACTGTGTCGACTCCAAAGCCTGCGACCTGCTGACGAGCTGATCAGCCACACAGCGGATATGATGGTGTATTGCCTAGCCCCACTCTACTGGCTGATGCCTGCCCAATTTCTGGATGCGGGGACAAAAGCTGTTTACCGACATGAGCCTATTAAGTACAGAATTCAAGCAACACACGGATGCACCCCAACTATCATGGGAGCCCACAGTTGTTGAGGAGGCGGTTGCTGATTGAGGGGCTCAGGTCCATAAAGATACTTAGGAAGGCTTGTCATGCGAGTCGCCAACATCAGGCTCAGCGTGCCAGGTGCTGAAGTGCTGTGTGCCAGTCAAAGCCCCTGTTGCGCGCAGGGTCGTGCGCAGCTGCTGGAGCTGCAGATGAGGACAAGTAGTCAAAAGAGCTCTGCTGCTCACAGGGCCGTAGCAGCCGCTGGAGCTGCAGACAAGGGCAGGAGCAGCAATACGCCTGGTAAACAAGTGTCGCCTCGCGCCGGTGATCCCCTCAGTGCCCCCAAGAGCAGGAGAAGCGGCGCGGAAGACATCAAAGGCAGCCAGCTTCTACCTTGGTGCCAGAATCGCCTACAGCACAGCAGCTTGAAGGCGACAACCCTGCTTCCTCCGTTAATAGTCAACACCAAACTGGGCAGGTCTGAGAAGCACAACGCTTGGCCTGAGGCGGCGCGCCCGCCCAGCGCGACAGGCTGGGGCAAATGTTTTCTTAGGCTATGGGTACCAGCAAGCAGCGACCGCATGCATGCGCATAGAT